ATATAATAATAGTAGTAAGGATAGTAATGCTAATGATACTACCATTACTACTACTAATGATAATGATAATAATGATAATAATAATGATAATAATATACATGGTAATGGTAATGATAAATATAATAATAAACATGATAATAAAAACAAAAGAAAAAAAATAAATGACAACAATAATAATAATAATAATAACTATAATGGATGTATGAAGACAGAAGTAACCACACCGGTATATATAAAGGTAAAATCCAGACGAACAGTCCACGCATAAGAACAGTGATCATCATTCAGGGTATTGCAATTTAGTCAGATATATCCAATCACTAAGGGGCACAAATAGCACTATATAACGAAAGGAGAACATTTAAGAATACGAACACGTCGACACGTTGATGATAATTATAACGGTAATTATAGCAATAACAATAATGATAAGGATGATAATAATGATAATAATAATGATAATGATAATGATCATATATATGATATTAACAACGATAATAAGGATAATAACAATGATGATATTGATAATAATATCATTAGCAACAACAATAATAGTAACAGATAACGATATGAATGATAACAAAAGTAAAGCAATAAACGGAAGAGCAATCCACCCTCCATCTATGCCTTCAGCCACGTGTCTAAAGCGAGGAATTTCCCTGATACATTTCCCTGTATTTCCATTCCCGTTTTCTCTTGCAATCCCGATATCACTCATGTCCATGCCTTCTTTTCATCGCTGGTCGGTATCTTAATACGAGACTATGACTCCTGTAAACCAAAGGAGATACCCAATTAAATGATAGAATCTCACTCGCTCGCTGAAGGAGACGCGAGTAAATGCGGACAAATAGAGACAAATGACTTCCTTTCTCCTGTAGGTATGATGGCAGTATCTGCCGGGGGCGGCCCTCTGGAGGTGGACGCTGCGTATCCTCTGGCGGACGTGACGGAGATGCCGCACATCAACTTCATCCGGTTCAGGGGCCTTGGAGACTCTCTGCTGGAGGAGGAGGAGGAGGAGGTGGAGGAGGTACCCTACTTCGACGCCTCCATGTCCTCCACCTACACCGCCTACCTGGGCAAGACGGCCACCCTCACCTGCGTCGTTCACGCCGCTCGGAGTGACAAATCGGTGAGTGCAAGGCTGAGGGCTGTTCCTTTCTTCAGGCTGAGGGGCTTGTACTGTACGTCATAAGAGGAAAATTACTATAATCACAAAGAAAATGGTTTGCATTTAAGATGAAGATAAAAAAAAAAAACTTGCATGGTGCTTTAGATCTTTAGAAAACCGGAATGTAGAGGTAGACTGATGACTGATAAATGAAGACTCGGCCTTAAAGACTATTCGCTATCCTCTTGTCCTCGTCATGGTTCCTCGTAGGTGTCGTGGATCCGAGGCCGCGACCTGCGCATCCTGACGGTGGGCGGCTACACGTACACGACGGACCTGCGCTTCGAGGCCCTCCACCAGAAGGCCAGCTCGGAGTGGACGCTCAGGATCAAGTCGGTGCAGCTGCGGGACCAGGGCAGCTACGAGTGCCAGATCACCACCAAGCCCATCAGGACCTTCAACGTTTTCCTCAAGGTCGTGGGTAAGAGCTCGAGTATTTGTCAACGTTTTATTTATCTGGAATGCGAAATACCCCTCCCCCCAAATAAAAAAAGAGAGGAAAAAAAGAGAAAATAAATCATTTTTTCCGACTTTATCTAATGTATCCACTCTTTCGTCCTTCGCTTCTGCAGAGCCGACAGTAGAGGTGATCGGCGCGCCGGACATCTACGTAAACACGGCCAGCATGATCAATCTCACGTGTGTTGTGAACCACGCACCTTACCCCCCCGAGGCCATCACCTGGTTTCACGGTAACCAGGTATTGTCAAATATAAAGCAGGCAGCAGTCTTTTTTTCCTTTTTACCTTTATTTGTATGTTATCTTATCTAATATGATTTATTCTTATTGCTATTATTAAGAGAGAGAAACAGGCAGAGAGAGAGAGAGAGAGAGAGAGAGAGAGAGAGAGAGAGAGAGAGAGAGAGAAAGAGAGAGAGAGAGAGAGAGAATTTCTGCGTGAAAGACTAACGTCATTGGTATTAAACATCGCAACCTTTTCTTAACGGATTTGTAAATGGTTACCTTATTTTTGCAAGAAGTGCAAATATGGGTATCTTGTAGTAGTAGTAGTTAAAGTCTCATCCTTTTCTGATATTGTTTTATTTCTAACCGTTGTCACAAGCCAGTGATGACTCACTTTCTATCATTAATTTCTCTCTCTCTCTCGTTCCTCCTACTCTCCCCCCCCCCCTTCCCTTAGCCTCTTCCTCCATCCCACTCTCTCTGTCTGTCTGTTTCTCTCTCTCTCTCTGTCTGTCTGTTTCTCTCTCTCTCTCTCTCTCTCTCTCTCTCTCTCTCTCTCTCTCTCTCTCTCTCTCTCTCTCTCTCTCTCTCTCTCTCTCTCTCTCTCTCTCTCTCCCTCGCTACCTTCCGTCCGCGAATCTATAATCTACGATCTCCTGCAGACGATCAGCTACACCTCGAAGCGCGGGGGCGTGAGCGTGGTGGAGGAGCGCGGCGAGACCACCACCAGCATCCTCCTCCTGCAGAACGCGAGGGCGTCCGACTCCGGCGCCTTCACCTGCCAACCCGAGGGCATGGAGTCCGCCCAGGTCACCCTCCACGTCCTGGACGGTAGGTGGCTCGAGAACAATGTCTGAAGAAGAGTCCTCCCAGGCTCTTGTCTTTTAGGAATATTTTCGTAGTGATTTCCGATGAGATAAGAGGTTAATCTAATCTCTCCAGAAATTGTTAAAGAATTGGGGGGATTTTTTTTTCTTAAGATTATTATTCTGGTGGATATCCTGTTAAAAGAGTATCAGATTTATATTTAGTTTTATACTCAATGGTTTTGCGATTGAGTTTATTTGCTTGGGAAAGAGTGTGGTGAAGAAAAGCTGCAGGGAAATATGGCTTTTTTAAAGAATATATTGGGTCGGAAAGGAAGTAAAGAAATGCCCTTATCACTGTGGGCGATTTCCTAGAATACATATATACACACACACACATATATGTATACGTGTATGTACCTATGTATAAGCGTTAATATCATATCATATTTGCAAATAAATTCAGACAAATCTATACAAGCTCTATTAGTTAGTCATATTTCATGATCTCCTAAACCCCTTTGGTCCGATCACCAGCCTTGAATTAGCATGGCGATGATCCACAAAATCCAAGAATAAAATATCCTAATCACTCCCACATTCCCCGACGCTAAACCCTGGCTTGCATTTCCGTGTTGCAGGCGAGCGTCCGGCGGCCATGCAGACCAACTCCAGCAGCGTCAGCACCTCACGCCTCTCCGCTATCTTCATGGTGGCCACGATCGCCACCATCGCTGTTTTCTAAAGCATCGCGGGTACTAGACTAGAACCTCATTTTGTGCATTATTTACGACTCGACATACTCCTCACCCACCAGCAAGCGTGGGGTTTGTACGATTTTTTTTTCTCCGAGTGTTTTGTACAAAGCATTTGATATACGCCGACTTTTATGTAACGAAGAGCCTCTTTTTATATACATGTAACTTCAGTAAAAATAGTTTTTGCTCCTTCAAGCGATGGAACGACCCTCTTGTAAGATGTCAATCTGCTTGGAAGTATCGTCAACGGCCGTGTTCACTCTTCTGAAACCTGAACCTTTTCTTTTTTCTCCGCATGTGTTTTTTTTTCTTTCTTCTTCCATTTCCAAAAGGATATACTGCTATCCCGCCTTACCTAAGGAACCCTTTAAAGAACGATTAAACAGTATTGGTTTTATGTCTGATAACCTCTATGCAAGGGATGGAAATCTGGTCTTGTAACTGTTTATGAAAGATAGCATGATATCAACCTTATACTATATATCAGCTTCTTATCATTGGAAGTAAATATCCACAAAAGTAAAAAAAATCATTGGTACTGAAATGTTCCCAAATCCTTGATGCTTCACACAAATGTTATTGTTATTGTTTCCATGAGTTAAAAATGCCTTATCTCCGGTACACATATTTTTTAACCATGAATGTTTGTTGTTCAAACTTGGGTGTTTTCCATATCTCCAATAACCAAAAAGAAGACAAAACATTTATGTACATATTTCTGTACTTCAATACTAATTAATGTTCTTCATGTACTGTGTTCACTGTCGTGTATCCTACCTGGAGGTGGTTGGACTGTTGGAAGCTAGATTTTAATAGACGAGAAAGTGCTTGGTGTGTCTTTTCAATCATCCTCTCTGTTTTTGTATGATTTGTTCCCATACAAACACGCACAAAACGTACACAAACAGACATACACACTGACAAAAAAATAATAATAATAACATAGAGAAAGATGTACATTCACACAGAAATAAAACAAGAAATCAGTACGTGTGTGTGCAGGTTTACCTTCCTTGATATTAGCAGCATTTCAACTTCTCTTTATCTCGCATTGTTGCGAAAATGTTTCCATTCCCTTTTCGAGTTGCCGACGAAACTCTCACCAAACAGAAACGACAAGGGAACTCTTCAAACTGTTATTAGGCTACTATTCGACTGACTTCATGATACTTCGTTGCACCTAGTTAACTCTCGCGCTAACTAGTGTGTTGTCCCACGTTATTCTCCCTTTGACTTGCAGGTAGCTAACTCGGGGGTAACGAGCATGCATCTTAAGGAGCTTTGCTGAAATACGCACTCGGTGTTTCTTATTGTACTGCAGGAGCAAGGAACGAGAAAAGCATTAGAGTGTTTTGTCTTCTCCATGCAGCGTCGCAATCTGTATAATGTGACGTTATAAGAAAAAAACAAAAACAAACGAGTACAAAGACACAATGTGAAGGAAAGAAGGATATGTAAATATCATAAGAATACTTATCCAATAAGTGTGTGTCTGTTTCTATCCACTCACTTGCTGTATGCACGCAGGAAACCAAGGACGAAAAAGAGAAATACATAAAATATATATCCCTATACCT